CCTCCAATGGAGGGGTGTGGGCTCGGTCCTACTGAGCCGAACCGCCCGCCGGCCCATCGGACGGCTCGGTTAAGCCGAAGTGAGCTTCAGCCGCCACAAGCTGACTGGCAGCCTGACGTAACCGAGGGCCAAGCGGAACGAAGGTGGTCACACGGTGTAGCGGATAAGGGTTCGGACTCACGCTTGAGATGTGGCGGGTTCGGTCCCGCGGCGTTACGGCCCGGCACGGTTTTCTTGCTTGAGTTTTCGCATGAGAGCGCATTTTTGCTGGGTCATTATTGCAGAATAGGTTCACAAACTTTGCATAAAGTGTAGGTTCCGGAACGCAGCGGATTCCCTACATCGGCCGTTTAACTTGAGCATTTCAGGACAGCCCACTTACCATCCCCTCAGCAAATCATAGCGCTTCAGTCCTGAAAATCCACCATGCATGTACAGTGTTCATGTCAATGGATCCCTTGAGGTTTAAGAAAGTTGAAGATTAGCAGCTTGCAGCCCCACCTACTCTAACAACAAAAAGGTCATTTTTCTCCCGTATCACAGTATAAAAGTAAAGGGAATGCAGTAGTGGATGACAGTATGAACCAAGCGCACGCATCTTTCTCTCTGTCCTTCTAGGGACGGAGCGACTTTGGAACACTCATGGGCTTTGACTAGGGCTTCGGAATGTTACGCGAATCAGAAATATTCTGTATTTTACTTTATTGCAAATGGAACCATAATAAATATGTACTGCCAACAATTCGATACATGAGGAGACAATAAAGTAGAAAGGAAAGCTGCAGTTAGAAGGAAATTGGAGCTTTTATGGTGTTTAAAATTGAACAGCCCTTTGATGACCATCAGTCATAGGCCAGGGTGGAATTTCAGCCAGTTTGTGAGGGACTGGCAGCGCATGAATGCATGGGGTACCCTCTCATTGGAAGTTTGTTGAAAATTCTGATTTCTAAACTTTCTAAAAATGTTTGCTACAAAGCTGATCAGAAAGTTGCCATAGTCGTATGACGAGGTGAGTTTCCTGTTGTGCCTCGTTTTTCCATGTGGCAGCACTTTTCCTCGAATTTCCATGGTAATGGTAGTGCTTCTGCGGGCTACCGTATTCATCTGCTGGAACTCAAACCTTTCCCTCCATAACACGCGGCTGCGGGTGTGGCAAGCGCGACGCGATTTCCGGGAGAAGATACCATCCTCCTCAAGAAAAAAATAAAAAAAAAGATACAGGAAATTTCGTCTTCATTTTAATTCAACGGCTCGACAATACACCATCGAGGTAAATGGGCTGTCCTAAAATGCTCAAGTTAAACAGCCGATGTAGGGAATCCGCTGCGTT